GGACCTATAAACCTAATAATTTGATTTATTTTATTATTAAACATGTTTAAATATGATCCTTTCTTGTAAAGTGATAATTTGGAAACTTAAACATAGAATGTTATGAAATAGAAAGGAATAATCCTTGGACCTCACTAGAGTATGAGTCCAAGCTATAATTTAGGGGACAGGCAGAGTCATCACAATGTGCTATTCATCCTAATAAATTTAAACCTTTGTCGTCATTGTTATAAGCTGCTCCAGAGAAGTTGTTGAGGGAGTTAGTACTTCAGCTCCTTCCCCTCATCCTGGAGCTAGGAAGTTCACCCTTGAGATAAACTGAAAATCCTTGTACTCTGTATTATTTTCCTAGGACTGCTGTAAAAAAGTATCATAAAGTGAGTGGCTTCAAGAAACTGAAATTTATTGCTCAAATAGTCTGGAGGCTAGAAGTACAAATCAGCATGTTGGCCTGGCCATGCTCCTCCTGAAATTTCTAGGGAAGATCCTTTCTTGTCTCTCCCAGCTCCTGGTAGCCCCAGGAGTTCCTTGGCTAGCAGCTGCATTATAACTTCAGCTCTACCTCTGTTGTCACATGGCCATCTTTCCTCAATATGTCTCTTTGTCTGTCCTCTCTTATAAAAGGGCACTAGTCACATGGATTAGGACTCCAGTATGACCTCATGTTAACTGATAACATCTTCAAAGACCCAAACAAGGTCACATTCGCGGGTACAGAAGTTAGGGCTTCAACGTATCTTTTTAGAGGACACAATTCAATTCATAACATACTCTATAACAATCTCTCAGATATACCTATGGCTGTTGGAGTCAATTTAATGATCTAGTAAGCTAAAATTAACAAGAACACACCTGAACTGACAATAAGCTATATAGACAAGTGCAATGGATTTGCTCTCACTTCATCATCAAAAAATTTTTTTAATGTATTTATCAACAAGGAAGATCTATAAGTAATACATTAACTTTTTTTTCAGTTGGCAATATTACTTTTCTGTTTACCTTAACAGCCCTACTCTTGCCCCACCAGCCTGCCAAGATGTTCTTGAGGGGAATACAGATTTGAGGGTGTAGAGCTCTGGCAAAGAGGCTGTGGTAGGGAAGAAACTCTGAAGGAGATTTGGAATCTTCAATCCACTGACACGTTGTTTCCGTTTCTCCTTCTACCAGGCCTTTCACAGCCTCTGGGTGCCATGGACACTGAAAAAACAGTACGATTGCTCACTTACTTTTCCCCAACGGCAGAACTAGAGAGATATCAGAGTCCTGCAACTTATCTAACATATTTTAAATATAACTCATCTTGGCTCTAATCATCAGCAGACAAACTTATTATTTGTTCATATGTACTCTGGCTGGTTTTTAGCTCATTTGGAGGCTTGTGGTAACTTTGGATTTTGTCCCTGGTGAGATGACAACCTAAGATCGTTTCTTTTTTACTGGTTGCAAGTTTTAAGGCATTTTGGGATACATTTTGTAATCACTTTGGAGGTCAAAGCAAGAAATAAGTACTATGGGGCAGGTGGATTTTTCCCTAGACTAGATTAAAAAAAATTCTCTCTTAAAGGCTTATCTTACTAGGAGGGAAAGTCTTGATTTAAGGAGATATTATCACAAAGGAGAGAGGCTTATAAGAGAAAGCTATTCTGACAGTCTTAGTTTTGTCCTCATAAATAAACAGTGGCTCAAGTCAAAACTGGAGTGTTAGACTGTGGAGAAAACCAGTGTAATGACCATGTATAGAGTACCGTTCAAGAACCATGCTACGCACTTAGAGAAGGAATAATTTCCCATTTAAGATTTGTTAGGAACTATCAGAAGTTTTATAACTCTACTGACAATAATCCTATCTGGAACATGATCTGCTTATATAAAAATAATTTTTAATCTGAAAGCTCTCATTAGTTTAAAAAGCTAGTCAAATGATAAGCTTTGAGCTGAGTCACAGTCTAATTTACCAGCACAATTCACAGTTTCCCTCTTCATTTTACTTGGTAGATTAATCCCATCTCAGAAGTGCTGTTAGGAAGAATACACACAAACATCTGATATTTCTGAGCATGTGGGTTGTGGCAAATTTAAATTTGTTCTAATAGCACATCTGCGTGTAAACAGCTGAAGATTTATAGTTGTTTTTTTTTAACTTAAGGTTGAGGAAATGGACCACTATGGGCTAATTAAAAATAATAACTCTGGAAAAGCAGGAGCTAACTTGTTAAATGCCAGGGCACCGAGAGGCAATATTCTGTAATCTAAATTGGGCAATTTATATCTTTGTCACTTGAAGAGCTGATATATATTTGAGTCAATGAATCATTCCATCAATATCCCATAACTAAAGCAAATTTTCTTTCCTTTTCACAAGAAGGGTTTTAATCAATTGAATAATAAATCATCCTGCCTTTTCCTGAATCATGAGATAGGGAGGCTCTTACAGGCAGAAGCACAACTAAATGTGGCCCCAGAGGAGGAGAGTCTACCTTGTTTTAAAAGAATGCCAGAATGGCCAGTATTTCTTTGATTATACTTTTCAGTGTTTGAAATAATAATATTATGTGGCTTTTTTAAAAAATATTTTCAGTTTGTCACTAAAAAGTTGTCTTAATGCTCAGAAGTCAGGAATGAATTAACTTCTTGATGACAAATGTCCTCGTCAGTGCCTACTGATGGTCCTACAGTGACCAGGTGTGTGAGGAAATGCTTTTCTTTCTTAAAATAGAATAATCTTACAAGCACTTACAGTTTACAAGGTACATTCACATACATTTTCTTTTTTGAATCTCACAATAACCCTATCATATATACCAAACACAAAACCAAACCATTGCTCTTGAGTCAATTCCGACTCATAACGACCCTATAGGACAGAGTAGAACTGCCTCACAGGGTTTCCAAGGCTGTAATCTTAATGGAAGCAGAATGCCACATCTTTCTCACATAGAGTGGCTAGTTGGTTCAAACTGCTGACCTTTTGGTTAGCAGCTGAGAACTTAACCACTTGTACCACCAGACTTATTAATTCTTATCTTTGAATCAGAAATTCAGATTCAGAGAGGTTAAGAGACTTGCACAGGATCATATATCAAGTAAGCAGAATAATCACAAATTGAGACTAGTTATTTTTGTTCTAAGGACAGTGTCCTTTACATGCTACACTTTGCTGCCTCTTCGGTATGCTGATAAAACGGTATACTATAAACATGCATTAAGGTGCTTTTGGGAAATTTGGTCCTGGAGGAATATCTTAACTGATGACGTGGTTGGGAGAAGTATTAACTTGAGTCTATGTTTGACTCAACAGCAACGAGTTTTTATGTCTGAATAGGTCCCTGCATGGGGCAAGTGGTTTGTGCTCGACTACTAACCAAAAGATTGACAGTTTCAACTCACCCAGTGATGCCACGGAAGAAAGTCCTGGCGATCTGCTTCTGTAAAAAGTATAGCCAAGAAAGCTCTATGGAGCAGTTCTACTCTGTAACATATGGGGTCTCCATGAGTCAGAATGGACTCGACAGAGACAGGTTTCTTTTTTTATGGTCTGAACAGAAGAAAGTATAAAGAAATAACCAGTTTTAAGCATCATCAGTCAGATGTTCAGTGTAAATGAATTGGGAGTACTAGACACAGTGGACAGTCTAGGACTCAGATGGAGTCTATCATCTTATGAGTATTCAGAGGACTGGGCCTATATTTTAGGAAGGCTAAGTGAGAAAGCCTTGATTCACCCAAGAAGGACAGTCAGAAGAAACAAACAACCTGTTTCAGATACACTAATCTGAATAGATGAAGTTTGATGCTCTGTTGGCCAGCACCGGGTAAAATGGGCTGAAAAGACTGGGAATCTGTTTGACTAAGAGCCAAAGACCTTCCAGAAATGGATCAAGGGGATATTTGCAAGGTGCATGGAAGAGGTATGGAGTCAGAGCAAGTTAGGTGGGAAAAGAACCCTTCTTGCAGAATCTAGGAGCCATTCCAGGGTAGGGTGCTGATCCAAATGGGAGAAAAAGCCTGAGGGTTTGCATAAAGATGGTACAGTATTTTATTTAACAAAACAACAAATACTTATATACCATATACGGTGTGCCAGATGCTATTCTGTCATTAATGTTAAACTTTTTTTTTTTTTAACTTTAGCTTCATGTAATTTTTGTTAAAATTTGCTGGCATTTTCTATAATCCTTGCTTAAATTCAGTGAAGTATTTATTAAATAGGCAGCAGCTCATTTGTCATAATACTCCCTGTGAAATCTTCTTGAAAAAGGCTTTGAAATTTAAATTAAGTTAGAAAAACCTTCAAAGTTAGTAGAAGCATCCATATTTCTGTTTGGTTCTAAGCTGTGGCTGCTAATAGCACTTACTGAAATGCAGATGTGAATTCCCATAAGGTTCATTTATGGGACCCTTATGGGAAATCTCAGTCAAATGAGACTCATCTGGCTATTGTTAGCACTTAACCTGGCTTTCAAGATGCTTATTCTTCAAAATAGTCTAAGGAAAAAAGTGATTATTAGTTAAGCTGTTTTGTAAACACTTTGGAATATAAGCTATGTTAAGGTAAAGCCATTTATTTGAGCATGTTTTAAGTGAGATATCTTTAAACTGTTGATAAGTATAAATGAAGAAACCTTTTAAAGAAATCCAGCTTTATTTCTTTCACATACCTATAGGTACTCAAACTAGGTTTAAACTGATGTTAAAGTGTCAATAGGTTCTTAAGAAATCTGATTTAATGAGCAAATTAAAGAGTGATCTGTAGGTAACATCATGATTGGTTTTATTTTAAAGGACACAAAGGCATTTGAGAAACCAGTTTTTACTAAACTTTATGGTATCAGTTTTCTTGGCAATTTCTCTTTCCTTAGACAGTGAAAAGGTAAATTTTAGGACAGGCTTTGTCCAAATAGTCACAACTAAAAGGAGTCCGAGGAGTTTGTAGAGTGTTACTGAATGTGTCCATTTTCGAAAGGAAATTGATTCACTGTTTTCAAATTATTTTACAGGATCCTGCAAACCAAAAATGCGGTGGAAGAAAGAAAACTGTGTCTTTCAGTAGCATGCCATCAGAAAAGAAGATTAGCAGTGCAAGTGACTGCATCAGCTTCATGCAGGCTGGCTGCGAACTGAAGAAAGTCCGGCCAAATTCTCGCATTTACAACCGGTTTTTTACTCTGGACACAGACCTCCAAGCTCTTCGCTGGGAACCTTCCAAGAAAGACTTTGAGAAAGCTAAGCTTGATATTGCTGCCATAAAAGAGATCAGACTTGGAAAGAACACAGAAACATTTAGAAACAATGGCCTTGCTGACCAGATTTGTGAGGACTGTGCCTTTTCCATACTTCATGGGGAAAACTACGAGTCTCTGGACCTAGTTGCCAACTCAGCTGATGTAGCAAACATCTGGGTGTCAGGATTACGCTACCTGGTTTCTCGAAGTAAGCAACCCCTTGATTTTATGGAGGACAACCAGAACACGCCAAGGTTCATGTGGTTGAAAACAGTGTTTGAAGCAGCAGATATTGATGGCAATGGGATTATGTTGGAAGACACCTCTGTAGAGTTAATAAAACAACTCAACCCTACCCTGAAGGAATCCAAGATCAGGTTAAAGTTTAAAGAAATCCAGAAGAGCAAAGAGAAACTAACTACTCGAGTGACAGAAGAGGAATTTTGTGAAGCTTTCTGTGAACTTTGCACCAGGCCAGAAGTGTATTTCTTACTTGTACAGATATCTAAAAACAAAGAATATTTGGATGCCAATGATCTCAGGCTCTTTTTGGAAGCTGAGCAAGGAGTCACCCACATCACTGAGGATATGTGCTTAGACATTATTCGGAGATATGAACTTTCTGAAGAGGGGCGTCAAAAAGGATTTCTTGCCATTGATGGCTTTACTCAGTATTTGTTGTCACCAGAATGTGACATTTTTGATCCTGAGCAAAAGAAGGTTGCCCAAGATATGACTCAGCCATTATCTCACTACTATATCAATGCCTCTCACAATACCTATCTGATCGAAGACCAGTTCAGGGGGCCAGCAGATATTAATGGGTATGTTAGAGCTTTGAAAATGGGCTGTCGAAGCATTGAACTCGATGTAAGTGATGGTCCAGACAATGAACCAATCGTTTGTAATCGAAATAATGTGACAACACATCTTTCCTTTAGAAGCGTCATAGAGGTAGTAAACAAATTTGCTTTTGTTGCTTCTGAATACCCACTCATTCTCTGCTTGGGGAATCACTGCTCCCTACCACAGCAGAAGGTAATGGTTCAACACATGAAAAAGATCTTTGGCAATAAACTCTATACAGAAGCACCTTTGCCATCTGAATCCTACCTCCCTTCCCCAGAAACATTGAAAAGAAAGATCATCGTGAAAGGAAAGAAATTGCCTTCTGATTCAGACATTTTAGAGGGGGAAGTAACAGATGAAGATGAGGAAGCTGAAATGTCTCGAAGGATGTCAGTGGACCACAATGAGGAGCAGAAACAAATATGGCTCTGTAGGGAGCTCTCTGATTTGGTATCTATTTGTAAATCTGTTCAGTACAGGGATTTTGAACTGTCCATGAAAAGCCAAAACTATTGGGAAATTTGCTCATTCAGTGAAACAGAGGCCAGCCGAATTGCAAATGAATACCCAGAGGATTTTGTAAATTATAATAAGAAGTTCTTATCAAGAGTCTATCCAAGTGCCATGAGAATCGATTCCAGTAACTTGAATCCACAAGACTTTTGGAATTGTGGCTGTCAGATTGTGGCAATGAATTTTCAGACTCCAGGTCCAATGATGGACCTTAACACCGGCTGGTTTCTTCAAAATGGAGGATGTGGTTATGTTCTAAGACCTTCTATCATGCGAGATGAAGTTTCTTACTTTAGTGCAAATACAAAGGGCATTGTACCTGGGGTTTCTCCTCTAGCCCTTCATATTAAGATCATCAGTGGTCAGAATTTCCCAAAGCCCAAGGGAGCTTGTGCCAAAGGGGATGTCATAGATCCCTATGTTTGTATAGAGATTCATGGAATTCCTGCAGACTGTTCAGAACAAAGAACTAAAACTGTACAACAAAACAGTGATAATCCTATCTTCGATGAAACTTTTGAGTTTCAGGTTACCCTACCTGAGCTGGCCATGATCCGTTTTGTTGTTCTAGATGATGACTACATTGGGGATGAGTTTATAGGACAATATACGATACCGTTTGAATGTCTGCAGCCTGGATATCGACATGTTCCCCTGCGTTCTTTTGTGAGTGACATCATGGAGCACGTAACCCTTTTTGTACACATAGCAATAACTAATCGAAGCGGAGGAGGGAAGGCACAGAAGCGCAGTCTTTCAGTGAGAATGGGGAAGAAAGTTCGGGAATACACCATGCTCAGGAATATTGGCCTTAAAACCATAGATGACATCTTTAAGCTAGCAGTTCATCCCTTACGAGAAGCCATAGATATGAGAGAAAATATGCAGGTAGGAAAAAAATCTCATGTTTACCTCCTCTACCCCTACTTTTTTTTTTTTTTGACCCTTCTCTTACTAGTGAGCATTGTATTTTATTAATGATTTGATCCCTCCTTCAAAAATGATCAGAATGTTTGTGTAAATTCATGTACCACTGAACTAAGTTCAGTATTGCCTGTGATAAACAAGATATATTTTTAAGTTTTTAACTAAGATGCTATATTAAGTTTGTCCTGAATTAAGCCCATTAATGGAGTATCAACATAGCAAAACAAAAATACTATACTGCGTTAAGTATCCTTAGTATGTATGTAATCGAATTGATGTATACGAATATGCATATGAAAAAGTAGTATATAAAATATTTTATGTGTATAATATGTAAACTATTATCTATACAAACACACGCACATACTACTTACTAGTATATATAATATTTACAGATATAAACATGGAAGAAAATTTGAAGCCATAATAAAAAATGTAACGCCTATTAAATTAAGTTGCTTAAATGTATAACAATGATAATAATAAAGTACTCCCCCAAAAAACAGCACAAAATTAAACAAAACTTAACACTTGAACTTGCTGAAAACTATTCAGCCTTCCTTAGAAATGTGATTTAATTGAAAAAACATGGGTTCTAGATTAAAATCTATCCCTGTATGATCCTGAGTAAATTATTTCAGGTCTCTGATATAATCAGTTTTCTCTGAATAAGGTAAGAAAAATAATAATACAGTGGAAAATTATTACAAGAAGTAAATAAGAACATACGTAAATTGCCCAACTCTGAATAGAGAAATTCAATGTTAGTTTCCTTCCATTCATTAATACTTATAATCAAGAGATGGTTGCAGATTTTTTTCAACCCTGTCTATCTGTCTGTCTTTCTAAGTATATTTAGTATAGTTATTCTAGGCTAATGTTATTGAGAAACAATCAAGCAACAAATATTTACTAAGTACCTGCAATGTGCAAGGAAGTGCAAGATGGCAGAAGCAGTCGCAGTCTTTGTGTGAGAGCAAAACAGGAGAAGAATATCATTCAATTTAATTTATTTATTCCTTTAATTAATATAGTAACCACACCAAAAAATCTCTACTTTCAAGATAGAACCTAAGCTGGAAGAGTTAAGTAATTTCCCAAATATTACAGTTAATAAATAGCAATGTTGGGCTTTAAATCCAGGGCTGCCTGATACCAAAATTCGTGTTCATTCGTGGTTTTTAGTCACATGATGCAAAGACTCCAACCCACAACTTGGTGAAAACCTTTTTACATTACTTCACAGAAATTCTGGGATACGTTTAACGTCAGTTTTAAATAGCTAAAATAGTGGGAAAGAGTTGGTACGTAAATACTTAGATTGTAAGCATTTAACTTGAGGTGGGGTGGCTTGGCCGCTATTTTAAACACAGACTCCAAATATCAGCATCTTTTACTCGACTTTTTTTCTTGATATAATTATAGAACTATTGTAAATACTAAATACATATGTGAGGTTAATTATAAATCATTTATACATCTAACTTTATATATTATAAATAGATTTTATGTATTTCTATATAATTCTTAAGATATATCTTCTAAATAACTTATATTTTGTATACAAAATACATGTTAAGGAGAGTTGGTTATGGATAAAGTTTTTTTCAGGCAGAACAGATAATTTAACATCATTTCAACATAAAGTCTTTTGGGTTAAGGATGATGTGGAACCTAATCAGTAGAAAAATCAGCACTGCCACTGTCACTAAATTCATGAAACACATAATAGGTTAGGTACTGTTCACCATTAATAGAATGTAAAATAGTCCTAATTTGTATTTCAAGTGAGTTTTTTAAAAAGACTCTAACATGGACAAGTGTAACTCTGTATGAAACCTGTTTTCAGTGTGTGTGTCTGTTGGTGTGTCTGTGTGTCTGTCAGGTGCATTTCTGATGGGATGACAAAGGAATATCATTGATAATAAGTCACATGAAGAGTGGTGAATAATAGCAGCCTGCTACTTTGAGGAGAAAAGTCCCAAGGAGATACACTCCAGTGGACAGTCACTGACAATACATTTTCATGACCATCATGGTCCAAATCAAATAAGGAATTCACAGCAAGCCAATGCTAATTTGTAATGTCAGTGTTCTTTTGAAAAGCACTGTGTAGCCTTGTGGTATATTTGTGGCAGTTGCCAAAAATTGAGAAAGATGAAATGTAATAGTGATTTGGCTGTCTGTGTTTTCTCCGTGCATATCACAATATTTTTGGTGGGTTATAATCTAGTTTGCTCCAAATTATTTATATATATATGTACATATATATGATTATACATTTGCAAAATCCTGGAGGTGATGTGTCATGTGGCCAGAATTGTGATTCCATGTTTTCTTCCCCACAGAATGCGATAGTGTCTGTTAAGGAGCTGTGTGGACTCCCTCCAACTGCCAGTCTGAAGCAGTGCCTGTTGACCCTGTCTTCTCGACTCATCAGCAGTGACAATACTCCCTCAGTCTCTCTTGTGATGAAAGAGAATTTTCCTTACTTGGAGCCTCTGGGGATGATTCCAGATGTACAGAAAAAGATGCTAGCTGCTTATGATCTGGTAGGGAATTGTGAACCCATATTTCTTACTTGTGTGTGTGGGAAATCGCTAATGGCAGGGACCCTTTTGTGGAACCCCAATGTGTAACACATGATGACTGCCTTAGGAATATGGATTGGGGTAGCAGTGAAAAGACTGGCCTACTCATCTTCCCCAGAATCCTCGTGGAGACCTTTGAGGCCAAGCCTTGAACCCGGAGCTCCACAGATTGTAAATGGAAAATCTTTGCTTTAGCAAAGAATGAACTATTTATCAAGTCCTCAAAGTCTACACAATTTCTCATCATTTCAATGATTTTAGCCTACAGTATAGCCATTTAATTGTTTATCTATAGAAAGTAAATTTATGTCTCAATGCTGCCTTAAGATAGTTGAGACAAAATATTTCCCTGGAATCTTGATTTCTAAGCTAATACTGTTATCTGATTTTTGTGATTATAGAAAGGAATTTATGTAGTAAATAAATTTAAGAATAGCTAGATTTTTTAATCTCCTAATTCTATAAACAAAATTTTTGGGGAAGATGACAAACTAACATTTGTAACATATGCCAGATAAAGTATAAATATCATTAAAATAAAAGGAGCACTTAAAATCAGTAAGAAAAAAAATAGGCAAAGAATCTTACATTAATCAGGATCAAGTTCAGCTGCCTGCAACAAAAATGAAAACTAATCATTACTTAAAAACACAAAGTTTTAATCTCTCACATAACAATCCAGATGAGCCATCCATGGCTAGTATGACACTTCTGCAAAAATTCTTAGGAACCCAGGCTGCTTCAAGCATTCTGCTCCACTTCTTTATGATGTGGGCCTTATCCTCATGATCCAAAATAGCTGCTGAATCTCCAACCATAACATCTGCATTCCAACTAGCAAGAAAAAAGAGGAGAAGGAGAACATGTCCTTTCCCTTTAAGGACATTTCTCTGAAATAGTATATATCACTTTTGTTTATATTCTGTCTGCCTGGAGTTGACACACAGCCACACTTAGCTGCAAAGGAGAATGGGAAATGTCTTTATTTCATGGGGCTATGTGCTTAGCTAAAAATCACCTCTTCCATCTCTGAGAAAAGGATGAGAATAGATATTAGGGGACAACCAACAATCTTTGCTATAGAGGTGAGCAGGAAATTCATGTGCTCTCTCCACCCCTAAAAGAATGAAAATATAAAAACATATTTAACCTTACTATAGGTTTTGAATTTAAAAAAAAAAAAAACTAAAGAAATATAGTGAGATACTTTTTTCCCCATCAAATTGACTTTTTCTTTCTTTTAAAAAATACTACCTCTGATAAAGATTTTAAGGAAGTGAACGCTCTTGTTCATCTATTCCTAGTGGGAAAATAAATTGATAACATTTGGGGAGAAAATTTTGGCAATTGATTTCAAATGTTTATCTCATTTAACTTATATGTTTTCTTTGCAGGATTCATCCTAAGCTAACAGAGATGATGTACATAAACGTTTATGTTAAAAAATGTTTAACAGTAGAGGGATTAGTTAAATAAAATATAGGAATCCACATTAGGAACTATTATGAAATCATCACAGTCATGTGTAAGAAGAACACCTAATGATATGGAGAACTCCTCATAATATAATGTTTTGTGAAAAGTTCTGGTTACGAAAAATATACACAATAGGATTTCAATTGTATTTATATTTATGCATGTACAAATACTAGCAGGGTATTAAGTGATTAATTTTAGATTAGGAGAGTGATTTTTATGCTTTTCTATATTTTTTTTCTGTATTTGTCAAACTCTTTACAATGAACTCAATTTTATAATTGAATAAAAATAAATGTGAAAAATAAAATAATATTTTATCACTAAAAAACAACTAGAGGAAAGAAAGACATTTGGCATAAAAATTTTAAAATGGAAAAAAAAACCTACAGAGCACATTCTGCTTATGAATTACTGTACCTCTTATAACTGTACTTCATGGTTGCCGGGGAAAAAGTTCACCTATTGCTATATCTCATTTTTCATAAAATCAATTTTTTTCATCGTAAAAGTGGGGACTGAAAGCTATTCAGTGAATAGGCATAATTGCCTTCTAAGAGGTGAAATTAGGGTACTAGTTGCCATAGAGACAGACAGTGGAAATCACCTGTTCCTCCACTTCCCTTTTCAGCTAAGAAAGAAAAAATCATTCACCAAGAGTGGAGCCTAATCCCCTGGTGCTGGGCCTGTAACAGGCAGAAAAGCACCTGGACTGTTGTTGGAAAATTTCCATTTCACATTCCAAGCATCTGATGGTGCTTTGCTTTTTTAGTTTTATCTGCTGGCTGCAAATCTGAATATCAGTTTTTTCTCATTTGTATTTTTAAAGTGGAACTTGTAATTGCAGGCATAGAATAGTTTTCCAAAACTTAAAATAAAAGGCTACAGTGGAAAGCAGAAATACTTGTAACAATGTCATCATCCTTTATAGTTCCTTGTGGAAAAGGTTATGCTTTTTGGTAGGGAATTGAGCGTAAAAATAACCCTGTACCAAATGGTAACCTCAGCAGACTGCAGAAGTGATCTTGAACACTAGAGATGTCGCCATTAGGTGTTTCTTCTCCGGGGTGGGGTGGGGTAGGGTGGGGACAGATACATGAAAAGATGATATTGGCCTCGAAAGTAAAAAACACCATTTTTACTTTTAGGATTTTCATTGTATGGGTTAGAATCTTTACTGCTCCTGTGTTATTATTTGTTTTAAAGAGATCTGTTAAGATACACTGCAGATCCAGAGTGGTCATTTAAAAATAGAAGTCAGATCATGTTACTTTCCTGATTAAAATCCTCTAGTGGCTTCCCATTAAAATAAAATTGAAGCTCCTTACTTCGGTTTTATGGGGCCACTTTTAATCTGGTCCCGCCTACCTGCCTCTCCAGCTTCACCTGCCTCTCCAGCCTTACCTGCCTCTCCAGCCTCAACCCCTACACCCTCTTTTTTGCTCACTCCCTTTCAGCTACATATGCTTGCTTTCTTTCTTCAAATTAGCCCAAGCTTGTTTCCATCTCCAGGTCACTGAATTTACTGTTGCTTTTGCCTGGAATGTTCTGCATGGATAGTTCCTTCTTATCTATTAATTCTTAGCTCAGATGTCCTTCCCTACCCACTGTCTCTACCTGTCACTTTATCACACAGCCATATTTTATTTCCATTATCCTACTTAGCAGATCATTCAAAAGCAATTGCAGCAGTACATTGATAGGGAACTGCCAGAAGTTCAAGCCAGATTCAGAAGAGGATGTGGAATGAGGGATATCATTGCTGATGTCAGATGAATCCTGGCTAAAAGCAGAGAATACCAGAAAGATGTTTACCTGTGTTTTATTGACTGTGCAAGGGTATTCAACTTTGTGGATCATAACAAATTATGGATAACATTGTGAAGAATGGGGATTCCAGAACACTTAATTGTGCTCATGAGGAACCTGTACGTAGACCAAGAAGTAGTCGTTCAAACAGAACAAGGGGATACTGCGTGGTTTAAAGTCAGGAAATGTGTGTGCCAGGGTCGTATCCTTTCACTATATTCATTCAATCTGTTTGCTGAGCAAATAATGTGAGAAGCTGGCCTATATGAAGAAGAACAGGGCATCAGGATTGGAGGAAGACTCACTAACAACCTGCGATATGCAGATGACACAACCTTGCTTGCTGAAAGTGAAGAGGACTTGAAGCACTTACTGATGAAGATCCAAGACTACAGCCTTCAGTATAGATTATACCTCAACATAAAGAAAACAAAAACCCTCACAGCTGGACCAATAAGCAACATTATGATAAACAGAAAAGATTGAAGTTGTCAAGGATTGTTCTTTACTTGGATCCACAATCAACGGCCCATGGAAGCAGCAGCCAAGAAATCAAATGATGCATTGCCTTGAGCAAATCTTCTGCAAAAGACCTCTCTAAAACGTTAAAAAGCAAGCGCCTGACCCCAGCCATGGTATTTTCAGTAGCCTCATATGCATGCAAATCTGGACAATGAATAAGGAAGATTGAAGAATTGATGCTTTTGAATTATGGTGTTGGTGAAGAATATTGAATATACCATGGACTGCTAGAAGAATGAACAAATCTGTCTTGGAAGAAGTACAGCCAGAATGCTTATTAGAAGCAAGAATGGTGAGACTTCGCTCACGTACTTTGGACATGTTATCAGGAAGGACAGTCCCTGTCGAAGAACATCATGCTTGGTGAAGTAGAGGGTCAACAAAAAAGAGGAAGACTCTCAATGAGATGGGTTGATACAGTGGCTGCAACAATGGGCTCAAGCATAACAATGATTGTGAGGATGGCGCAGAATCAGGCAGTGTTTTGCTCTGTTGTACATAGGGTTGCTATGAGTCAGAACTGACTCGACGGCACCTAACAACAGCACAACACTTAAGCAGTAATCAAAAATATTTGGCTTGACCTTTTGTTTAATTTGCATCCTTCTCCTTTACTCCTCTATTTGAATATATGCTCCATGAGGGACCATATCTCTCTTATTTACTACCATTATCTCCAGCAACTAGAATAGTGCTGGCACAGAGTATGTTATCAATAGATGTTAGTTGGATAAATGAAAGCATTAGCTTCTATTGTTGGTGAAGATAATGGTTGTTCCCATTCTGCAATTAAATGTGTTTTATGGTAAATCTTTAAGTCCTCTTTGCTTTACCTTCCTGATGCCACCCTAGCCAAATTGTTACCTGTCTTATATATATAGTTAAAAACTATAGGCTATTAATAAAAGCTTATTTGGATGAACAAGGTGGGAAAACAAATCCAGGGTTCATTCATTGCCTGGTTGAGGGGTGGTGGGAATTCCAAAATGAACAGTTGGGTGTTCAACTTAGACTCAAGTCACTTAAATGTTTGCATTTCTCAAAAATGGTAATGAACTGCATAGATGCCATCTAAGAAGAAAAGTTATAACTATTAAAAAGGTACTAAATATGTTTAGGATGAAAAACAACCTGGAATAATTTCTGAACAGATG